CTTCGGTTTCTTCGAAAGACTCTTTCAGGACTATAATGGCATTGGTAGCGCATTTCGATCTTGAGCTACATCAGATGGATGTTAAGACAGCGTTTCTCAATGGTGACATTGATGAAACAATTTATATGGTACAACCAGAAAACTTTGTATCGGACGATGCAAAGCAAATGGTTTGTAAATTAAAGAAATCCATCTATGGGCTCAAACAGGCATCTCGTCTATGGTATTACAAGTTTCATCAGGTGATCATCTCATTTGGTTTTGAGATGAATTTGGTTGATGATTGTATATACCACAAGTTCAATGGGAGCAAGTATATTTTTCTGGTTTTATATGTCGATGACATATTGCTTGCCAGCAACGATATAAGCTTATTGCACAAAACCAAGAGATTTCTAGCAAAGAATTTTGAGATGAAAGATATTGATGATGCCTCTTTTGTATTAGGAATTCAAATACACCGAGATCGTTCTCGAGGTATTCTTGGATTATCACAAAAGAGTTATATCGAAAAAGTACTTAAAAGATATGGCATGCAAGATTGTAAACCATGTGACACCCCTGTGGCTAAAGGTGACAAGTTCAGCTTAAGTCAGTGCCCTAAAAATGACTTGGAAATTAAAGAAATGCAGAAGATTCCTTATTCCTCAGCTATAGGGAGTCTGATGTATACTCAGGTTTGTACACGTCCGGATATAACGTACATCGTTGGGATGCTAGGGAGATATTTAAGTAACCCGGAATGGATCATTGGAAAGCAGCCAAACGAGTCATGCGGTATTTACAGAGAACAAAAGACTACATGCTCACATACAGGAGATCGGATCAGTTGGAGATCATCGGTTATTCTGATTCCGATTTCGCGGGATGCCAAGATAGTAGGAAATCCACTTCAGGCTATATTTACCTGCTTGCTGGAGGTGCTATTTTATGGAAGAGTGCTAAGCAGACACTCATAGCTACTTCCACTATGGCAGCGGAGTTTATGGCGTGTTATGAGGCATCAAATCATGGAATATGGCTGCGCAATTTTGTCACTGGACTGCGTATTGTGGACAATATAGAAAGACCACTTAAGATATTTTGTGACAATAAATCAGCAGTGCTGTATTCCAATAACAACAGGAGCTCGACAAAGTCAAAACACATAGAGATCAAGTTCCTTGCCGTTAAAGAAAGAGTTCAGAGTGGACAGGTGTTAATAGAACATATTGGGACAAACTCTATGGTTGCGGATCCGCTTACTAAGGGATTGATACCCAAGATTTTTCATGAGCACACTGCTCATATAGGTGCAATGTCTCTTGAGGATATCTAGTTTCAATGGGAGTTTGCATTTTTGCTTTTCATATTGGACACATGTACTGTTATTTTGGATACGGTTTAAAGTTAAAGTTATTTTCAGTTATAAAGTTATTTGGTTAATTATCTCTGAACTTGTTTAAAATGATCTCACTAAGGTATTAAGGTGGACCAGTTGGAAATAGGCATGTTACAGATCACATTACATGTAATTTCCATGCTACACATCCATGCTTGATCCATGTCATTCAGTTATATTGATATACGTGACCATTGATGGGTTTAGCTACGTGAAAGTAGCGAAAGCCGCTTTGATCCTATATTGATATGATTGATGGACGGGATTGTTTGGGGATACATTCGGTAATGATAGCAAAATTCTAAGTACTCATAAGGTTATGTTTAATGTACAATTATAAGGTAACACATATAGCCTAAGTGGGAGATTGTAAGGATTTTTAATTAAAGATGGGCTTATATGTGTGAATAATTGTGTGTTAAATTATAAGCTATCGAATTCAGTTGAGCCCAATTAAAGTGATCTAATAAGGCTTCGATTTTGGGTTTTAATGTATCCAGTTAAAGTATGGGTTTACATATATGTAGAGACCGAGCCCAAGTCCTAATTCTATGATGGGCCGAATTAGGTCAAAGGGCATCCCCATATAAATAGGTTATGGTCCCCAGATCACACGCAACGTATTATTCATTCTCTACTGCATCTCATCACAGAGAGTAAAGGAGACTGTGTGTAGATTTGGAAGATCATACCGCGAAATTCATATTGCATTAACTATGTCAGATTCAGGTATGCTTCCGCTTTAATTCTTATATTTCTTGATGATTTAACATGAAAGATCCAGTAATTTAAAGTATTAAATTATCCAACAAATAGATCTTTCTGTAATTTTCACCAAGTAAATAGATCAACCCCAGTAGAGTATACAAATTCTCCACCGTGGGAAGCAAAATATGAACACTGAAGCTCAGATTCCACCAATGGTCCATGAATATCGTTAGTACTTCCCTCTAGCAAAAATGGCTGAGTCCAAAAGTTTCCACCATCTTCAGCATTTAATTCTGCAAACTCTGCTGCTACATTTGTGCGGTTGGTAGCATCTGTTTCCATAGTGGAAGTGGAAAACTGACTCGATGCTGGCTGGGGTGGATTTTTTGAACTTTTCAAAATGTCAACATTTTCAAGGACTGATGATAAATTTTGATCTTTTTCCCAACTTCTCGTCCTGCTGCTTCCAGGGAGTGGTTTGTCAGGGATGGAAATTTCTTTTGAGCATTTCTTGAGGGAGCTACTTTTCGAAATGTCATCATTTTCAACGTTTGATGATATATTTTGATCTTTTTTCGAACTTCTCGTCCTGGTTAGTGGTTCGTCAGGGATGAAAACTTCTTTTGAGCGTTTCTTGAGGGAGGTGTGCCAATGGTTTTTTATATCATTGTCTGTTCTTCCTGGTAAGTTGGCTGCAATGGCTGACCATCTGCAGCAGAGTGTGAATTGTTAATTACAATCTCTAATATATATTTCACCCTATTATTAATATATATATATATATATATATATATATTTTGTACTCAGTTATTTTTTGCTGAACCTGAAGATATATGATTCAATAAAAGTCAAAATTAAGTTTGTACTTACTTATTCCCAAGTAATTTGTGTAGTTCAATGATCATCTCGTCTTCTTCAATGCTGTAGTTGCCTCTTTTGATATTTGGCCTCAGATAATTCATCCATCGAAGTCTGCAACTTTTTCCGCACCTAGCTAATCCTTTACAAAGCAAGTTGATGAATAAATGTTTTCAAATGATGACATATAAATTTTATACACGAAAATGATCAAAGCCAGAAAAGAAGAAATTATTGTAAATTCATTTGTGAGGATTATGCCTCAATCTACACAGCTAAAGGCATGTCATTTGAGAAAGAAAAATTATATCACGCAATTATTCCCTGTATACTAAAATCCAGGTACCTGCATACTTGGGAATTTGACGCCAATTCCAACAGCCGTACTTAGTCACATACGCTGTTAACTTTCTATCCTCTTCTAGAGTCCAAGATCCCTTCTTCACTGTATTTTTCTCATAATAAGGACTTATCTCCATCTCTCTCTCTCTCTCTCTCTCTCTCTCTCTCTTACAGACACTATGTAACAATGTTGTCCTCTGATGGAAATTGAAAGACTTAAAAGAAGACCAAAAACGTGTAACACAGGTGATTGATGTGATTATAAATGCCCGAGGCCCTTATTTTCAAAGAAATGTCCTTCCAAGAAAATTCATGTCTCAATGCACACTTCGGAGAGAATTGACAGGGCCATGTGGATGTCACTCTTCATCGGGTTGTAGATTTACGGAAAAAGGGCTTTGCTTAACACATTTCCTCGTGATTTTTCCACTGGCCCCACACTGGACTTCCCGTTGACTTGATACAAAACCTTTTTTTTTTTTAATACTTGCGTTCGTACCTTTTAGTTCAGAAACATTGTTAATCCGTACTTAACAGTTCCAATCATCGTTAAAACTCCATTTTTGAGGTAGGATTTCATTCCAAATTCGTCACTGTACTTTGTTTTTGTTAGCACTCTGTTTGTCTTCATCATCTGAATTCAACAAAATTAGTGGTCGTGATGAAAGGCAAATTTTTGGCTCATTATTAAGTCATCAAGCTTGGCAAGTGAAAAACTCATTTAGTCACCAAACTTATAGCATCATTTCACTTAAGTCACCAAACTCTTTAGTCGTTAATATGGGTCAAGGAGCACTTGGTACCTTAGAAGGATCGTAATTTAGATTATGTTTGGTCCTCATTTTTTAAATTTATATTTTTTACATTCGTTCACAATCATACATTCTCCTTGTAAAATAATTTTATTATAATATTTTAATTCATTTTTTATGTTTTTCTTTTTATAAGTTTTGTTGGATTGACATGAATTATTTTCATGTTTGTTAATGAGAATTTAACTATATGATATTCATTACATGTTAAATCGAAAGATTGTATATTAGAATACACAATCTTGTTTTCGTGAATTTTTTGTTAAATTGAGAAATTTCTACATATTCATGTAGTTGTTCTATGTGCCTATGCATCACTTATCAAACTATTAATCGAGATAGAAAAATTTTATATTTAGAGATATATTAATTAGTATTCGAGAGACTAAATTTAATATTCTATCTTGAATTTAATGACCAGCATCAGAATAATTGAACCAAAATATGAAAGGGACAGGAATACGGTTAAATAGTGGAATTGAAACTCCTAAATATTTCATTAAAATTTAATATGAGTCGATTTACGCTTATGAAATGTAAGTTACTGTTTTTAATTTGAGGTACTTCTGGATACTCAAAATGTTAAGAAATTCGACGTTGAAGTTCTTTCATGTGTTAATGTCATTGATGGTGTTGGAAATTGTTGGAGTTTAATGACTCTTCTTTCTTTGAATAATTCTATGTAGCAACATGAATGCTAGGCACAAGTTCACGTGACATGTCAATTTATGTCCAATAATCACAATATGTAGAACAACTAACGAATTAATATCAATTATCTTGCTTGGTCCAATCTAAATTAATTGAATGTGGCATGTTTTCCACAAAACTAAAGAGGATTTTATTTAGGGAAAATTGCAATCGAGGTACCAAACTTTTCGTTTATTAGCAGACTTTGCCCAAACCTTTAGTTTGTGCCACCGGAGATACCAAATCTTTAAAAAATGTGTGGGGTCAGTCCAAAATGATGGTTTCCGTCTGTTTGACCGCCAAAACCGTCAGTTGACCCCTTTAATGATAATTTCAAGAATTTTTCCCAAATAAGTGAAGGGCAACATAGTCATTACACACATTTCCCTCCTCAACTAAAAACTTCACTGTTTATTTCTCTCCATTTCTTTATCACTATATATACCTACCTTCTCTCTCACAGGTAGTAAAAAGAGTTAGCAAGAAGATGGAGGGGACTGTATGCAGATGTGGTTCCCCAGTGCAGATGAAGACCTCATGGACGAACTTGAACCCGGGAAGAAGATTTCTCACTTGTCCTCGAAGCCAAAATGTGGGTGGATGCACCTTTTTTATGTGGTGTGACCCTCCGATGTGTGAGAGATCGAAAGAACTGATTCCTAGTCTATTACGAGCTAGGAGGGAAATGGAAGCTGAAATCAACACCCTTCAAGCAACAAGACCAAATGTGTGGAAGATCTAGCTCTTTGACTTTGTGTGTGGAGTGTTTGCAAACTGGGTTTGTTCTTAGGTATTTTAGTTTTTAGTTCCAGAAATTTGAGTTTAGGGTTTTGAATTGGAGCCATGTGCTAGATGTTGTGAAATGCATATGTAAAAAGGAAAAATTGTGTTGTACCTTTTGACTTGAAATTTAATGATCTTTTCCTAGCCTCTATGTAAAATGTGAAATTAAAAGAGCTGATTACACTTCAAACTTATCTGAAGAAGGTACAATATAGGTATCAAACTTTATAACGATTCGCAGAATCAGTACCAAACCTTTTCTAGTGGTTTCAGAAAGAGTACCAAACCTTTAAAAACATTGTAGTAAAGGTACCAAACGTTTGATAATACTTTCAGAGGAAGTATTAAATATTTTCATATATTTCCTAATCGCCTGCACATCAGATCTTACGAATACAATTTCAGAAACCAACGACAAACAGTAGAAACATAATGCAAGATATTCGACATCAACATTATCATCACATTCAACAATTTCATCAAAAATTCCAGTTACATCTACAAAATAATAGTATTGGAAGCACATATTTCTAATTCAGTTTACAAAAAACCACATCATTTTTCCCAAAAAATAACTATACAAGAGAAACCACATGATGTTCAAGATTGCGATCCTCTATTGTTGGACTTCTTTGTCTGTGCCTTGGAGGTTTCCGTTGAATGTGCTTTTCTCTTCCCCTTGGTATGTGTATCTTCTTGGGACTCTGTTTGTGTGGTTGTTTGAGACTGTTGCTGTGAACTATCTTTACCAGGCAGTGCTCCCTTACAGGTTCTTTTGTTATGTCCAGACCCTCCACAGCATTTACACGTCATCTTCATGCCTGTCCTTCCCATCTTAACGCCTACAGGTGGCTCTGCCTGTGACCTCTTCCTCATTTTTTGGGTCTGCCAGCCTGTTTTCTCTTTTGAGGTTGATTGAGAGGATGCTTTCCCAATTTTGGCCACAGTTCANTTTAACGATATTTTCCTGGCCTCTATGTCAAATGTGAAATTAAAAGAGCAGATTACACTTCAAACTTATCTGAAGAAGGTGCACCATAGGTACCAAACCTTATAACGATTCGCAGAATCAGTACCAAACCTTTTCTAATGATTTCAGACAGAGTACCAAATCTTTAAAAACATTGCAGTAAAAGTACCAAACGTTTGATAATACGTTCATAGGAAGTATCAAACATTCTCATATATTTCATAATCGCCAGCACATCAGATCTTACGAATACAATTTCAGAAACCAACGGCGAAAAGCAGAAACATAATGCAAGATATTCGACATCAACATTATCATCACATTGAACAATTTCATCAAAAATTCCAGTTACATCTACAAAATAAACAGCATTGGAAGCATATATTTCCAGTTCAGTTTACAAAAAACCACAGCATTTCCCCAAAAAGGTAACTATACAAGAGAAACCACGTGATGTTCAAGATTGCGATCCTCTATGCTTGGACTTCTTTGTCTTTGACTTGGAGGTTTGTGTTGAATGTGCTTTTCTCTTTCCCTTTGTTGATCTGGTATGTGTATCTTCTTGTGTGGTTGCTTGAGACTGTTGCTGTGAACTATCGTCACCAGGCAGTGCCTCCTTACAGCTTCTTTTGTTATGTCCAGACCCTCCACGGCGTTTACACATCATCTTCATGCTAGTCCTTCCCATCTTCACGCCTGTAGGTGGCTCTGCCTGTGACCTCTTCCTCAATTTTTTGGGTCTTCCAGCCTGTTTTCTCTTCTGAGGTTGAGTGAGAGGATGCTTTCCCAATTCTGGCCACAGTTCAAGCCTGACATCGGGTGGATCACTGGGGAGTAACATTTCAGGTATGTCTCCTTGCTATACCATGGGTCGATGTACTCATATATGCCAATATCCCTTGAAAGCATGCCTGATATTGCATGGGGACATGGTATTCCAGTGAGCTGCCATTTTCTGCAAGCACATGCATGTTCTGTCAAGTCAACGCTCCACCTCAAACCGTCTCTGCTGCTTATCTCAAATTTCTGGTTGCCTGCATAGTCTGCCTTCAAGTACCTTGCCTCAGACTTAGCCTTCTCAATGATTTTCACAATTCTTGGCCCGAATGCATGATCCCACCTCTCTGCCGCTTCCCTTTTTGCATTCATCCTTATCATTTGCTGATGCCGAATTTTCTCTAACATGGAGATGATGGGCCTGTCTCTGGCAACAACAATGGAAGAGTTGAATGCCTCACACAAATTATTAAGAAGGATATCACATCTTGAATGCTCTTCAAAATGGGATCTGGTCCACTGGGAAGGAGGTTTTTCAAGGAACCAGTTGTAAGCCTCTTCACTTATGTCTTTTAACTCATTCATTGCACTCTTCCACTCCAGCACTGTTGTTGCCCTTGCTGCAATCCAAAATAAGTTCTTAAGTGCCAGACCTTTGTATGCCAAGATGAAATTGCTATAAAGATGTCTAGCACAACACCTATGCTCCGCTCCTTCACAGTATTGACTTATGGAATCCACCAAACCCTTTTGTTTGTCGAAAATGAATGTCCAAACTCGAGGGTTGTGCATCCCTATGTCACCAACCAACAATTCTATGAACCATTGCCAGTTTGTTTTGTTCTCTGCATCCACAACTGCCCATGCTAACGGGAACATACAATTCTCACCATCAATGCCAACAGCTGCCAACAACTGTCCACCTTCTGCAAATTTTAGGAAGCATCCATCCAACCCAACAACTGGCCTGCACCCAGCCTTAAACCCTTCCTTACAAGCCCCTATGCAGATGTACATTCTCTTAAAAGTATGTCCCGAAACTTCGATTTGGACTGTACTACCTGGATTTGTTCTCTTCAATTCCTCACCGTAATCCCATAAAATTTTGTACTGCTCAGCTACAATCCCATTAATAACTTCTGCACATTTCGATCTTGTCCTGTAGAACTGATGCTTTGAAATCTCATACATGCAGTCCTCTTTCACAGTCTCCATAAAACTACTCGTTGGAATGTTTGGATCAGACCTAAATTTTCTCACATGGTTTCTTGCCAGAAAACCTGAATTAACCCTTCTATTTTGCCACACCATGGTACATGTGTGCTCATCTACAAATGTGTTAATTCTGAGCCTGCTGCTGTGGTCCAGAAGCATGCACATCAATTTCAGCAGGCTGCTCGACATCATGTTCAGCAGCCTGCACCTCTTGTTTAGTAGCATGCAGCTCCTGCTGAGCCTGCTGCTGTGGTTCAGCGTCATGCAGCTCATGTTCAGACCTCAACTATGGTTCAACATCATGTGGTCTCTCTGGTTCAGCAGCATGCACTTCTGATTCATGTGAGTCTACTTCAGCCCCTATAAAATCAACCTCTGTATACTCATGCTCTGTTCCATGCACTGTATAAACTTCCTCTTCATCTGCTTCCATGTCATCCAATTCATCAACTACATACACATCATCACCTTCTACTGATTCATCAAAAATCTCAATTGCATGACATGGTTGCTGCTCATTCAATGCTTCACCAGACTTTTGAACCTTCACCAACTCTTCATCAGTCTCACAATCAAACACTCGAACATCCTTCTGTTCTATTTCATACCAAGGCAACTCCAAAACCTCAACTACAGGCAAGCAATACAGTTCAGATGTCCTATTATAACCAAGCCACTTCACTAAATTCATGAAATCTGAGTCTTTAACCAACCAAAATGAACCTTCACTCATTCTTTTCTTCTCCATCTTGTACAGATATCTAATTCTATCAGAATATCCTAACATCTTCACGGCATTGTCCAAAAGAAATCTATTGAAGAAATCAGGGCCTATATAGTCTATATAACTTATTTTCCCATGCTCATACACAAAATTTCTCATCTTCTGCAATAAAATTCCACCATGATGAAGCCGTATGCTGAAGTACTTTGAATTTTCCCCTGAAAAACACCCAAAAAAGGAAGTTAAGCCCTAGCCCTTTTCAATTCAAGCAACGATTATGTGCAGAAAAGATACTACACAAGCATTACGCTCTAATACACCAAATCACTTGAAATTTTTGAATTCCCCAGTACGTGAACACAATCGAACAGGGGAACTTCATAATCATACAGCTTCACACCGTAAACCGAAAACAAGGGAAGACACTTACCATACACGGGTTGGGGAAGAGAGCCTCGAATGTGGGCTGCAATTTCCACTGGATGTTCGTCTTCTTCGAAGTCCGTTTCGTCTTCTTCGTGGGTTTTTGCAAGTTCCATAGTGGATGGTGAGTGGAAGGAAGTTGCAATGGACATGTTTGATGTTGATGAGGGAAATGTGTGTAATGACCATGTTGCCCTTCACTTATTTGGGGAAAATTCTTGAAATTATCATTAAAGGGGTCAACTGACGGTTTTGGAGGTCAAACAGACGGAAACCGTCATTTTGGACTGGCCCCACACATTTTTAAAGGTTTGGTATCTCCAGTGGCACAAACTAAAGGTTTGGGCAAAGTCTGCTAATAAACGAAAGGTTTGGTACCTCAGCTACAATTTTCCCTTTTATTTATTTATGAGGAAATTTCATTGCGTGTCAAAATTTGACTTTTTGCATTATCAAAAATGTCATCTTTTAAATTTTCAATCAAAAATGTCAATTTAAAACATTTTTGACCCTCTGAATTATTTAAATATCTTATATATTAATTTTCAAGCAGGGGCCTGCAAATTATGAATTTACACAATAGGCCCCCGTCTCCAACACCCAAATCTGCTGCTGAAATTTTTATTTTTTTTACTTTTACAGTGTGGCGAAGGCCACCGACGGCGTCCAGCACCTACTACTGCAGTACAACAGCAGCTCTCGTCCTCATCGCTGCTGCAGCAATACAACAGTAGCCCTCGCCGCTTCTTTGGGCGATGGCTGCGAGCGCCGCTGCCTCTGTGGCAGATGCAGCGCTTGCTGCCACGCTCCTCGCGCCGGCGGCTGTTGTCACCGCCGCCTTTGCCCTCTTCCTCTTTTTTTTTTTTTTTTTTGGCCCAAAATTTACAATCTTTTAAAATCAAAAACAGATTTTTAAAATTTAAAATAAGGGTAAGTTGGACATTTTCCAAAAAAAAAAAAAGTGATATTTTTGATAAAATTAGGTGCACGTACAAATTTTTTGTGCATTATAAAAAAAAAAGTGACATTTTTTATAATTCCCCTTTATTAATACACAATTTCAATAAAACATCTTAGAATAAAACAAAACATTCCAACTCACCGTAAAACGAGTTGGGAGACCCCATTGACTATTATAATTGTGACGTTTATTCTGTATATAGTTTAAGGTTTGGGGTTTTAACTTCACAATTGTTGTCATAATATATTTATCAGAATCATTAGCAGATTCATATTCACTAGCCGAGGAGTCATTAAAATCCTAGGTATTGCCATTATAAATTATATTGTTGATTGTAATTTACGGAACGATCAACTTATGAATAAATTGGAGTTTCATAAATTTCAAGATATCACTAATTTTATAAGATCGAGTTAAGAGTATGTCTCTTAACTTGTCATTTTTTAAGAGTCTAGAGTGTCTTTAACTTATTAACTTCTCGTTATATTTGTCCAATTACAAGTGTTGAAGATATGGAAAGATTGTAAAGCATAATCTCTATTATATTTTTTCAATAGTGTAGAATTATTTTCTTTAATAGTTGATTGTATGATTATCACACAATCTTTCCTATTAAAATTATTTATTGTTCTATAAATAGGATCTTTTACTTTGTTTTATATAGAAACGCAAATTTATAATATACCATTTATAATATTATAGCAATAAGTATGTACAAAGATCGTGTCAAAGCTCCATGTATATATATTAATCTATTTTATGTTCAATTGCATCTAGTAATAAAAACCAATAACTAGCATAATTGCCGACCTATATAAAATTAAAAGTTGAGCGGTTGTTTTCAGTTTTTTGACCATTTGGTTGTCTTCTCCTCAATTTCTCTCACATTTAAACCATTAACTACCATTTTCAATTCTTAAAACCCCACAAGTGTAGCAAGAAAAATGAAGAACAAATTCTTCTTATGTTTTCGACCCCCTCTTCTCATTGAACCAGACCACAGTCAAGTATTGCACTCTGATTATGGGGTTTCAACGTCGAATGTTGTCACAAAAGACCAGGAAAAACCCTGTTCTTCAACCATAAAATCTACACTTTTGGATAAAAATAAATGTAGATTTCCTGGACAAAACAAGTCTAGAAAGACATTTTCTTCGGTTTTCGAATTGTTCTCTCTAAAGGCTTCACTCGTTAGTTCCTTCTTCTTGATTTTATTTTGTTTTCTGTTTTTCTGTTTATTTGTTATGTTTCTGATAGAATATTATCTGGTTGTTTTAACAGAGAAATAGGGCTCGCGATAAAAACATTCATCGACTCAACCCTCAATCCAAGAAAGTTATTTCGCGAAAAATGAGTAAGAGGCTGGAGGATTTTGGCAATGACGAATCAGTAAAGCCAAAAGGATTGGATGCCAATATCATACAAATAAGCTCAGATACTTCTATACTTCCGGCTTCTTCGTCAAGTAATTCAAAAAATCTTGTACCATTATCCTCGCAACCAATGCCTATGTCTGCAGATGAAACTTGTCATATTGCTTCAAATACTTGTCCCGTTAGTTATAACATTTGGGGTCTTATTTTCATCACATTTGCTCTGTTTTTAACCATGTTTTGTGGTAAGACGATTGCAATTTTGTTTGCATTAATATGGCTCTACACGTTTCCTCTCCGACGGTGGGAGACCTGAGAATATGATGCAGTCGCCGGAGACCGGAGAGTTCAAAAGAGTACACAACAAGAAGAAGGCACACAAAGGACGGTGCATTAATGTTTTGACGTGAAAGAAAATTTTCAGATTCTTGAGTGCGTATCTCTGTAGAATTTAAAGCTTTAGGTTAAAATAAAGCATTCAAGTGATTTCGTGTATGAATGTATATCTTTTTCTGTCATATTTTTTATGTGGAGAAAGTGGATGAATCTCGAAACCATGGTTTAACTCTTTTGGTGCAAATAGCGCTTTCCTTGGCAAGATCATTAAAGAATGGACTCTATTATGATTTTTAGGTTTTAGATTACGAGCAATATTAGAGCATGTTAATCAATATTAAATTGGATATTATTATACATGTTGGGTTGTAAAAATAAAATATTCTTATATCAAATAAAATTGTTTTCACTTTACTTACTTCAGTTATTTACGAATTAATGTGTCTATGATCATTTGTGATAATATAAGTTGAGTATTTGTGTTGAGAAGTATAGTGTGACACAATTTTTATTTTGACCATAAATAATTAGTTCACAATCAATATATAAGGGTTGTCACTTCTATTAGAAAGTTGTAGTATTGATAGTTTCATTATTTATGTTTATAATTTCTCCTTATCACAGAAAAAGTTAAAGATAACAATAGTATCGAACTAACCACGTGTCGAGTTTAATTCTATAGCATGACCGTGCAAAAAATTAAATTCAACTTCATCGTTGTGTAGTTCATCTAAATCCCTTGACATGGTTATGTATAACTTTTCGTAATTTTAATGATTTGTTGATTCATCAATGGGTGAGATTAATTTGATTTGTCAAATATCTCGATGAGTTGAGAACTTGAGAAAGGGTGAAGTAGAAAACGTGAATTTCTGTTGAACAATTAATATCTAAGCTCAATGTTTAGCGATGGCTAAATTTCGACACTTTTTATTAATTCATAGGACAATTGAGAAAATGATACTTAAGTTAGTAAGAATAATTAGAATGACAAAATGGTCATTTATGCTCATACATAATTATGGGATCTCCTATGAAGATAAAATACATATACTACAGATCAGATAAAAGTATTACAAATTTATTGACTTATGTGATCTTATATATTACAAGAGTTTGATCTTTTGCCTTGGTGGAAAAACAAAGAGTAATAATTAAATTTGGTGGTCTATGATCGACTAGACAGGATCTAATTATTGAAGCTGGGATAATATGTATTCGATCAAGTTCCTATGTTAGGTCTATAAAGTATTGGAACTCAATTATGGTAATTATAATA